GTGCCTGAGTCGTGGCATCTACCCCGGCGGGAACTGGGACTTCATAGAATCGGGCAGCTCTGTGATGAGCGAGAGCTACCGGGTCGTCTTCGAGTGCTGGAGGGGTCGTAGAGGATGATGCAGTAGCCCCGTCCCTGTAGGAGGAAGGTCCAGGGGCGGTTGTCACAGGGATGGCACTGTGGCCGGGATCACCGGGGTTGTCGAGGTGTCCATTCTTGTCCGCGGTACCGTTATTAGTGTCGGCGACACGGACGGGCTGCTCATCGCGAGCTGGATCAGCCATGACAGGTAGTTGAATTGAGCTTTGGTCTTTAGAATTGTTCGTTAGACGGGGAAGCTAGTTTCCCACAGACGGCGCCACTGATCTGACCTGATCAGAAATGGACCGTCACGGCTGGCTCCGAGCAGAAAGCTTTTTTGAACGAGGTGGGGGGGGGGGTACCTGCAAGGCACTCCGATGCTGAAGTAAGTAGGAGTACGAGCAGATAATAGCAAGTGTAAGGTTAGAATGATCAATACCTGACCCTCTGGAAGCAGAGGGTATTTATAGCCCCCAGCGCTGGGCCAAGGTTCCTTCACTGGGCCGGGCAGGTTTGGCCCAATGGAGGAACTGCCAGGTTCTACGTGCGTAGTAGGGACCCGCACGTGGTCCCCTTCCTGGATGTTCTGCGTGAAGTGCGGGCGGACGGAGACGCGGTCTTTTCGGAGTATCGTTGGGGGGACAATGGACTGAGTCTGCCCTAGCTGGGGTGCTCGAGGTAACGTCGAGCTGGGCCTCAGACTGTGGTGCTGAACCACCTCATGTCGAGCTGGAGGCGTATCGTCGAGCCAGCGACTGCGCGTCAGGCACGGTCTCACTCTTTGGTCGGCGTGGCCCTTGTAAGTCCATTTGGACTGGGCCTTTGCAATGCTTTTGGGCCTGTCGGGCCCAGTCCAGAACAAAGCCTATCTGAGTAAGCTTGATGCGTTTAAGGAAAATTTCACAACCCTAATTCCCTTTACCAAAGATCCAACAACTTATGCTGAACAACAAAGTAAGTATTTCATGATCGTGGCACTTGTCGGACTACCATCGGAGCTTAATTCTGTCTAGAACCAAATTTTATCAGAATCCAATGTTCCTAACTATGAAGCAGTTAGTGAACAACTATTGCATTTGGCTACACTCACGCCTTTGGACCGATTTCCACTCTATCTCTCATTGAATTATCTACTCTTGCTTCCCGCTATCATGGTCGTGATGGACGAAATAGAGGAAGGGGTGGACAACGTCATGGTATTAATTGTAACTATTGTAATCATTACGGTAAAGGCAAGAGAACAACAACGACAACCACGGGTCGCTCATGTCGCTCAACTGAACAACAATAAAGATATTAAAATTCCTACCGTTGATTACAATGATTTCCTCCTATTCAAAACAGCCCATCAACCATCATCATTTGTCAATGTTGCTCAGTCGGTTAATCCTACAACCTTTGTATATACATCTTCGCTTGGTCCTTAGGTTATTGACTCAGGTTCCTCTGATCATATGATTGCTAACAAATGCCTTTTAGCTCACTTGTCTTATTCTGATTCTTGTCCTTCTGTCACTATGGCTGATAGTTTTAAAATCAAAGTTTAAGACCTTGGTCAGGAACACCCACATCCAAACCTACCTTTAGAGTATGTTCTTTTAATCTGCCTCTAGAGTCTGATTCACCAATCTTCCTTTAGAATAATTCTTTTAATCTTCCTTTAGAGTCCTGACTTGAAACAAAATTATGTCTTGATATCTAGTTTCAATCTTTTTTAACATCACAGAGAATTATTCACCAATCATCATGTGCTCATACACCACAACAAAACGATGTTGTTGAACAGAAGAATCGTTATTTAGTAGAAACCGCACAAACTCTATTACTTCACCACAATGTACCTTCTCGTTTTTGGGTGATGCTCTCCTCACATACTGTCACATTATCAACTGAATGCCTTAATCGGTCTTCTAAGATTAGATTCCATACTCTATCTTGAACCCACAACATGACCTCTACCCCATTCTGATTCGTCACTTTGGTTGCACATGTTTTGTTCATGATCTTAGTCCAGGTAAAGACAAGCTCTATGCCAAATCTCTAAAATATATATTTCTAGGCTACTCATGTATACAAAAAGGATATCATTGTCTTTATCCTCAACTTCAACGGTACATTTTTTCCTCTGATGTTACATTCTTTGAAGGTTTCCCATTTTTATCTATCTCTGTGTCACACGATGAGACTTGTAACTTAGATGTTCAGGATGTCCCTTCTATCATCCCCATACCCATTAAACCTTCATTACAGATCTACCAGCGACGAATACCCCATCCATCGAAAGTTAGAGATGATATTAATCCATCAACACCATCTCCTAGTCCAACTCTTCCTCCATCTACGTCACCTGAACTTGACCTCCCAATAGCATCACGAAAAGGTATTTGATCTCATACTCCAAATCTTAAATATGTATATGTTTTAAATTATGATTGTGTTTCTACTTCCTATGTGTCTTTTGTGTCTTCTTTGAATTCTGTGTCTTCCTAAGTCTACAGGTGAGGCTATGACTGATCCCAATAGGCGTCAGGCGGTGGTGGAAGAAATGGATGCATTGCATTTAAATCAGACTTAGGATATTGTTACTTTACCTTTCGAAAAAACTATAGTAGGACGTTGAAGGGTTTATACAGTGAAGGTTGGACCATATGGTCAAATCGATCGTTTCAAAGCTCGTTTGATAGCCAAAGGATATACACAAATATTTGGTCTTGATTATGGTGACACTTTTTTTCCTGTAGTCAAGATTAGTTCAGTGCGTCTCTTCCTTGCAATAGTTGATATTAATCGTTGGCCGCTTCATCAATTAGACATTAAAAATGCCTTTTTACATGGAGAATTGGAGGAGGAAGTATATATGGCCAACCTCCAAGTTTTACCATTCCTGGAAATTCTAGACTTGTCTTTCGGCTTCGTTGGTCTCATTGGTCGCTTCAGCTCTGCCTTGATATAGTTCGATATGACTAGATGTGAATCAGATCACTCAGTTTTCCTTCTTCATTTCTCCATCAGTCAACGCATCTTTCTTGTGGTCTACATTGATGACATTGTTATCACTGGAGATAATACAAATGGTATCCAACGACTCAAAACTCATCTTTTCAACAAGTTTTAAACAAAAGACTTGGGTCCACTCGAATACTTCTTGGGTATTGAAGTTGCTCAGTCCTTATCAGGCATTGCAATTAACCAACGTAAGTATCCATTAGACATCTTCAATGAAATCGGTATGCTTGATTGTCGTCCGATGAATACTCATATGGATCCCAACGTTAAGCTTATTCTGGGTAAGGGGGAGCTGTTGAAAGACCCGGGAAGATATCAACGTCTAGTGAGTAGTTTAATTTATCTTACTCTCACCAGACCAGATATTACTTTGGGACTGAGCATTATGAGTCAATTTATGAATGCCCCTTGTGATAATCATTAGAATGTAGTTATTCAGATTCTCAGATATATAAAGAAAGCACCAGGAAGAGGCGTATTATATGAAAATAAAGGTGATTCTAAAATCATATGTTATTCAGATGCAGAGTGGGCAGGATCATCAACAGATAGGAGATCTACTTCTGGATATTGTGTTCTTATTGGAGGAAATATGATCTCATAGAGGAGCAAGAAAGAAAACATGGTTGCACTATCTAATGTTGAAGCTGAATATTGTGCTATGGCGGCAACATTAAAGGAACTTGCGTGGCTTAAGAATTGACTCTCAGAACATAGATTGGGAGATCTTCAGGACACAAGACTCATATGCGACAATCAAGCGACGCTTCGTATTGTATCAGATCCGGTATTCCATGAACGACCAAGCACATAGAAATAGATTGTCACTATGTAAGAGAAAAAGTATTGTCAGGAGAAATAACCACAACGTTCGTCAAATCTGAAGATCAATTGGATGATATGTTTTTCAAATATCTTAAGGGTTCCCGAGTGAATTACATTTGTAACAAGTTCGAATCATACAATATATATGGTCCGACTTGAGGGAAAGTATTGAGAATCGGTTACAGATCAATTAGTATTGATTTGTATTCAGTTAGTCATAAGTGTAAATTATATTATTACATATTGTGTATATTTATTTACATATTGTATATATTTATTTTGCGTATAAATATACAACATGTGTGATCATATTCGACACAAGCAATACAATCACCATGACACGAAAGATGTTTCATTTTATAGGGTCCAATTGTATTTGTGTCTAGAATCGGAAGATGGCTTATTCACGAGGGAAAACATAGAATGAGAATGTTTCGGAAAAAAAAACATGAAATTTGGTAACTCACAAAGCTTTATTTATTTTAGTGAACTTAGTTCAACATGTTGGTATCTGGCAAATATGTATTTAAGCTCATCACGTCTACTTACACTAATAACTTCTAGTATTGAAAGGTCTTCAAAAGAGAGGAAACGAAATTTTGAAACATTGACTTTATTAGTAAAACAAATTCTTAAGTTCATTATAGCATAATTTTTTTTGTATTTATTCATACTTAATTATTTTTACAATTACTAATTTTATATTTGATAAAAAATCAAATATATCTATATACTCCATCCGTAACTAATTATAAGTAAATTTGATTTTTTTTTTTTTTTTGTATATTTGACAATTAATGCATCTAATATATATATGGACTACATACATATATTAATTGTCAAATGTATCAAAAAAATTTAATTTTGCTTATAATTCGTTACGGAAGGAATATATACTACTGGGTGTTGGTGGTATTTTCATAAATTTTGGAAATCACATAAAAATCTACTTCATGCCACTTGATTCCATTGGAATGCATAAGCATTTTATTTTGGAAAGATTTATACTTTCATTTATAATACATGAAAATATTACTCTCACCTAGTAATTGTGAATTGCAATTCAACAATGTTTAGGTAAAATTGAAATCATTGAATAATTTGGCAAACAAGAAAGATATATGGAAAAAGGGATACCTTGATGATTGTATTGTCAAGAGATTTTGAATCTGAATGATTAATAATGAATTCACCAATAGATTTGATAGCAACCTGGCAGCATTCTGAGATGTCAAGTTGTTCCAAGGGTGGAAATGGTGTGCAATATTGTTTGGGACATATGGCAACTAAACTTGGCAGATTGCGAAGTTTGAGATACTGTAATGCTGGAAGATGAAGGTTTGGATGGTCGTTAGTGTAGTGCCCAAATAGGTATTTCAATTGCATGCAATCATATACGTAAAGCTGTTTCAATTTTGGGAAGGCATTTCCCCAATTATTGCCACCTCTTTCATCATCTCCAATGTCTGCTATTATGTACTCCAATTCATCACATTTCGAAATTGTCAAAGTTTCCACCAACATTACTGGAGTAATAGAAAAGATAAACAAAGATTTTATCTTCAAAAAACCAGATAGCTTAATCTCTTTTATATTGCACATGATGTGTGATTGTACTGGAAGGCATTGAGCACGTTCCCATAGCTGTAGACATTGTGAATTTGATACCTATAATATAAAAATTAAACCAAACATTACTGGCATGTGCATACAACTTATGGAAATGCAAATGTAAAAAGTTTTTTCAAATTAATTTTGTGCAACGAAAATTTTTGAAACACTTCATATAGGATAAGACTTCAAATTTTGGATGTTTAATCAATAGAAGAAACAAGAAACACATTTAAAAGAGAACTTATCAAAATATAACAAAAAAAGGTTATAGTGTTACTGATGGTGTTGAGTTCTTCTGCAGTGAATCCTCATGAACCGATGGGACTTTAGTAGTTGACATATGCCAACATTTACAACTCCATGAGAAGAGGTTGCATTTGACTGGGTCCACATGTGTTTGTTCCTTGAAACCATCTCTTGAAGTGGAAGATTTCGGAAAAATGGCCATAAAATTTGGTAATTCACAAAGATCTATTTCTTTGAGTGAACTCAGTTCAACATACTGGCCAAATATATATTCCAGCTTATGACATCTTCTTATTCTTAGAGCTTCAAGTATTGGAAGGTCTTGAGAGGAGAGGAAGGGAAGTATTGATTCTAATAGCTGACATCCTTCAATTTCAACAACTTTTAGTTTTGGAAACATTGAGACAGAACTCTTCTTACCATTATCATGTTCTTTTGATCCCTCCTCTATTATTATGTTTGTCAATCCTTCACAATCAACTATTTTCAATTTCTCTAGCAGCATCAGGTTCCGAGAAGTTAACAGTGAAGAGAGGTTTACCAACATTGGGCAATCACAAAGTGTCACGGTCTTTAGATTGTAGAGATTTAGCTTGCAATTAAACAATCTTTGAAACATTTTACACTTCTTTATCGACAACTTCTCTAAATTTTTCAAAGAGTCAAAAGAAAGGGAGCCATTGAACAATTCTACCAAATTTTCCATTGTGCTCACTTTTAGTACAACCAAATTGGGAAATATGTTTGGTACTTGAGAACCAACAGAGTCAATGAGACACTGTAACTGTGAGATAGAACTCAAACGCAGCTCAACAAGATCTTTCATACCTGAATCTATAGGAACAATCTCAGGCATGAGATTTCTCCATCCCTCCTTAATTCCATTTAAGTCAAGACCCTCTGTTGTATGCATGCAATACTTGAATGTGTCTTTTGAAAAAAAACATTCACCACGACCTGCATCAAAAGACACATATTTTGATAGTGAGTTAAGAAGCTTTCTCCGCCCTTTCTGGATATGATACATTTTCAACTCAGGTAAGGTTATTTCTCGACAAAAATCATTAAAACTATCTATCAAGTACAACTCTTCAAGTGTTGAGCATCTTCCAATAACCTCAAATGGATCATTCCTTGTAATTTCACACCTTTCCAAGTTTAACAATTTAAGTTTCCCCAATTTTGCAATTTCACGAGGCAATTCATTGATTTTGCATTTAACCAAATCAAGAGTCTCAAGACTTTGCAGATTTGCAAAAATAGAGATGTCACCTAAATCAACTCCATCAACCAATATAGATACGATATTTGCCAATGAGCTAATTGAATATGGTAATGATAGGGTTCGATTGTCATGACCTAAAATGTACAAAACTTGAAGATGGTCAATATTATCAAAGAAAGAATTTGGGGCTTCCATATATTTACGGTCTTCATCCATTTCGACATCGAGAATTAGAGTCTCAAGCTTGGAACCATCATACTTCAAGGAAAACAAATCCATGTCCTTCCCTTCACAAAATAAATATTTCATATTTTTTTCCTTTTGAGCAGATGATTTTTCATCTTTGTTCGATAAATTAACATGTCGAATCTCTTTGTATGCTATCCATTGAGCCGCTTCACGAACCAAATCATGCATTTTTACATGTTCTTCACCGACCCCCACCAACAAACATGATGTTAGAAATTTAGGGTGTGATAATCCTGGATAACTTCGATGAATCGTGTTCGTACACTTTCCGAACAAAGTATTTCGACCCTATTCTTGTCTGGGTTCACGAAATCTTTGTGGGGATAATTCTCGAAGAAATTCTGTTTCCGACAAAAGAAACGAATTGTAATTATAGAGAGAAGGATGCGTTTTTCTGTATGCGAGACCGAGGCCGAACGAATCCTTATATAGGAGAACAGTAATTGAAACGAAGAGACACATTTGTTCGAAACGAATATGTCCGTTGGGAAACAGTTATGTCCGTTGGGAAACAGTTATGTCCGTTGGGGAACAGTTATGTCCGTTGGGGAAAGGAGAACATGTTCTTCCGCCCCTTGGACCCCGCGGGGCGCTGCCCCGCACCCCGCCAGGGGCTTCGCCCCTTGGAACCCCGTTTCAATTATTCGTATTCAATTATGTATTGGCTCGACGAGCGTGCACTCCGCACTTCCCTAACTCGTCTCCGAACTTAACGCATAATTGCATCGGCCTTTAGAAATCACATTACTACTAAAATACATTGGTGATACAAAATCGCCAACAAATCCCCCCCATTTTAGTGTAATCCTTGATTAACTCAGTATATATAGTTATATACAAGGGTACAATCTACAGGTAAAACGATTAAACACATGCATAAACGAAAATGTCTTACGATTGAATTTTCATCTTAGTACAAATACACATTCCAAATACTCGAAAATCGGGGTGTCATAAAGATTGAACCCGTCAATCCATTTGAACATCTGAAGATACAGTACACATATGTTTCTTACAATACTCTACTATCCATTCTTGACACTTTTACAAGCCATGTGTCCTTATCCATTAATAAGCATATAGAAAGCCAAGTCCAAGCTTCCTGAAGCGGCAAAACTTCATGCTCACATAGGTGATCCCTTTAATCTTGCACCTGCATTTGCAATTTTTCAAAGAGAACCATTAAGAAGATATACTTCAACCTAGTCATTACTTGCAGGTCTGAGCACATACCTTGGGAAGATAAACACGAGTGCTCCAATCCCTAACTATGATCTTTCTACATTGAATTTTGCTTCTAACGTTGTATTAGAAGGGAATTGGATATACCATAGCTAACGGATTTAAATGGACTTTAATCCCATCCCAATTACCGACTTCTTCACTAAGTCTCTAGCTAACCCCTTCGTCAAGTGGTCAGCTAAGTTTTGTTGCGACCGAACAAAATCAATAGATATCACCCCATTCATGATTAATTCCCTAATCATACTATGTCTAACACCCAAATGTCTAGACTTCCCATTATATATTTGACTATAAGCCTTAGCCAATGTGGCAGTACTGTCACAACGAATAGATATTGGTGATATTGGTTTAGGCCATATCGGAATCTCATATACCAAGTTCCTTAGCCATTTCGCTTCTTTACCAGCAGCAGCTAATGCCACAAACTCAGATTCCATTGTGGAACTGGTTATACATGTTTGCTTCTTGGAAGCCCACGAAATGGCACCTCCCCCAAGCAAGAACACCCATCCACTTGTTGAGGATGAATCTTCAGCATTGTTTATCCAACTAGCATCTGAGTAACCTTCTAACACCGAAGGAAATCCCATATACGACAATCCATAATTCATAGTACCCTTCAAGTACTTGAATACCCTAGTTATTGCATGCCAATGGTGTCTACTAGGATTACTAGTAAATCTACTCAACTTTCCAACCGCATAAGCAATATCCGGTCTAGTGCTAATCATAGCATACATCAAAGAGCCTATAGCTCTTGAGTATTCGAGTTGATCCACAGGTTTACCTGTATTTGGCATGAGTTTTTCTCCCGGATCCATGGGAGTACTTACTGGAGAACAACTTTCACAATTGAACTTCTTGAGTATTTTCTCAATGTAATGGGATTGAGTAATTACAATCCCTTTATTCTCCCGTTTAATCTTAATACCAAGAATAACGTCCGCTTCTCCCATATCCTTCATGGAGAATTTTGATGACAGAAAATTCTTTGTTTTATCAATTTGATTTTGGTCGGTGCCAAAGATCAACATGTCATCAACATATAGACAAATGAAAACTCCTTTACCGGATGTATCAAATTTGCTATATACACATTTGTCAGCTTGGTTTAGAATGAAACCATTAGACAAAACAACCTCATCAAACTTTTGATGCCACTGCTTCGGAGCTTGTTTCAGCCCATACAATGACTTAACTAGCTTACACACTTTATGCTCATTACCAGGCATAACAAATCCTTCAGGTTGCTTCATATACACTTCTTCTTCCAAATCACCATTTATAAATGCTGTTTTGACATCCATTTGATGAATCACTAAATTATGAATAGCCGACAAGGCAATCAACAGTCTAATAGTAGTGATACGAGCAACTGGAGCATAGGTATCGAAATAATCGATCCCTTCCTTTTGTCTGAAGCCTTGGATAACTAATCTAGCTTTAAACTTGTCAATTGTACCATCGACTTTCATCTTCCTTTTGAAGATCCATTTGCAACCCAATGGTTTGCAACCTGGTGGTAAATCAAACAATACCCAAGTATTATTTTCCATGATAGAACCAATCTCTTCATCAATTGCTTCTTTCCAAAAAACAGAGTCTCGAGACTTCACAGCTTCATCATATGTTCTTGGATCCTCCTCTATACTATAGCAATAATAGTATTGAGTATCAATCTGATCCTTTGATCCCTCAACCAAATATAGTTGAAAATCAGATCCATAAGTTCTAGATTTTCTAGCTCTTTTGCTCCTACGAGGTTCAAGTGTCTCACTTGGCACATCATTTGAATGATCATCCTTTGGAGATTCATCTGAATTAGGTATAGAAATCTTTGGCCTAGGTATAGAAGAGAAACAATTCTCATCAAATATGGCATCTCTTGATTCTATTATTGTGTTAATAGAAATCGAGTCATTAGGCTCTATAACATAAAACCTATAGGCCTTGGAGTGCTCAGCATATCCAACAAAGATGCAAGCTATACCCTTTTCACCCAAAGTTTTCCTTTTTGGGTCCGGGAGTCTAACCACGGCCCTACAACCCCAAACACGTAGAAATGTTAAGTTGGGTCGTCTCTTATACCAAAGTTCATATGGGGTAGTCTTGTTCCTTTTATTAGGAACCCTATTTAACAAATAGCAAGCCGTTAACATAGCTTCTCCCCAAAACCCTTCACTCAGACCAGAGTAGGATAACATGGCGTTCACCATTTCCTTAAGAACTCTATTTTTCCTTTCAGCCACACCATTTTGTTGAGGTGTATAAGGTGCCGTAGTTTCATGAATGATTCCTACGGACTGGAAAAACACAGGATCATAATATTCACCACCTCTGTCTGTACGTAATGTTTTAATCAGTACATTCTGTTGCACTTCAACTTCAGTTTTATAGATTCTAAATTTATCTAAGGCTTCATCCTTAGCGTGCAACAAATAAACATAGCAGAATCTAGACGCATCATCTATGAAGGTGATAAAATACTTTTTATGCCCTAACGAAGGAGTAGCATGCAAATCACATAAATCACTATGTACCAATTCAAGAATGATAGATTTCCTTGTTATACTTTTAAAAGGTTGCCTAGTGATCTTTGTTAACATACAAGTTTTACACTTTTCTACATTTCCATTAAAATTAGGAATTAAATCATTTTTAGACATTTCATGCATTCTTTTATAGTGTACATGTCCTAGACGAGCATGCCATAACGAAAAATTAATAACATTTGACGAGGACATAAAAACAGAACCAGATTCATTAGGAACTCCATTCAAATTCATCATAAACATATCATTATTATAATATCCAAATCCTACAAACACACCAGACTTCGATAATACATATTTATCGGATTCACACACTTGCTTGTATCCAAGCTTGTTTAATACAGGACCAGAAATTAAATTCTTACGTAATTTAGGAACATACAATACATTAAACAAAGTAATAGTCTTTCCAGAACTGAATTCTAGCACCACGTTTCCTTTGCCTTCAACGGGAGCGAAGTGATCATCTCCCATGTAGAGGACAGAACCATCTTCCACTGGAACAAGAGTCTTGAACCAGAAACGATCCTTGCAAACATGTGTTGTGGCACCAGAATCAATCCACCACGCGGCAGCATCATCCTGCACATAAAATGATTCAGAATTTAGTGAAACTGAATGTTTAATCAAACTATTCAAATCACGAATTGATTTCTGACCTTGGTTTTCGGAGTGGTCCTTAGACCCCTTTCCTGAACCACTTGCATTCGCGTTGTCGTTCTTTTTACCGAAACGGCAGTCCCTCTTGAAGTGGCCTGTTTTGCCATACTTCCAGCATTCTAGTTTTGGTTTCTTATTATTACCGAAACCGCCCTGTTTGTTCTTGAAGGCACGCTTCTTTCCTTTGTTTTTGTTGTTATTGTTCTTACCACCCTCTTCGACCATATTAACCGAGGGTCCAGCAATTCCTTTGCCTTTTCCTTTGTCATCTTCCTGCGCTCTTAGAGATTCTTCTATGCGCAAATGACTTCCAAGTTGGATCAAAGACAGTTCGTCTTTTCCATGTTTCAGATTGTGTTTGAAGTCCTTCCACGAAGGAGGCAATTTGTCTATGATGCTTGAGACAGATATTGTTTCATCCATATTCAATCCATGTTGTGTGAATTGTCCAAGGATTCGAAGGAGTTCATTGAATTGTTCCATGACAGACCTCGATTCAACCATTTTGTAATTGTTAAAATCGGTTACCAGAAACTTTTTACTGGATGAGTCCTCTGCCATGTACTTGGATTCGAGTTGATCCCACAATTCTTTAGCAGATTCCATGTTTTGGTAAATATCAAATAAGGGATCAGACATACCGTTAAGAATGTGCCCTCTGCATATGTAGTCGTCGTTCTCCCACTTTGATCTGCGTCTTATATCTTCGACTGATTCATCCTCACGAGGTTCTGGAATCGGTGTAGACAGGACGTGTACCACTTTCAACGTTGTCAACATGAAGTGCATCTTCTTCTGCCAACGCCTGAAATCTTGTCCTTGAAACTTGTCCAATTTTCCGAACTTTGTTGTCATCTCCTTGATGGTGCTTCCTCCAGCCATGATTATCAGAAAAAACTACTTTGTTCGTTTGTTAGAAATTTAGGGTGTGATAATCCTGGATAATTTCGATGAATCATGTTCGTACACTTTCCGAACAAAGTATTTCGACCCTATTCTTGTCTGGGTTCACGAAATCTTTGTGGGGATAATTCTCGAAGAAATTATGTTTCCGACAAAAGAAACGAATTGTAATTATAGAGAGAAGGATGCGTTTTTCTGTATGCGAGACCGAGGCCGAACGACTCCTTATATAGGAGAACAGTAATTGAAACGAAGAGACACATTTGTTCGAAACGAATATGTCCGTTGGGAAACAGTTATGTCCGTTGGGAAACAGTTATGTCCGTTGGGGAACAGTTATGTCCGTTAGGGAAAGGATTCAAAATTTTTGCACGGGGCGCTGCCCCGCACCCCGCCAGGGGCTTCGCCCCTTGGAACCCCAACGGGGCGCTGCCCCGCACCCCGCCAGGGGCTTCACCCCTTGGAACCCCGTTTCAATTATTCGTATTCAATTATGTATTGGCTCGACGAGCGTGCACTCCGCACTTCCCTAACTCGTCTCCGAACTTAACGCATAATTGCATCGGCCTTTAGAAATCACATTACTACTAAAATACATTGGTGATACAAAATCGCCAACACATGAATCTATGAGTTTATCTTTAGCTACAACTACTTGGTTTTGAGCATCATTGTAGTTGCCATAATTCTTCCCAAAAAGGCCCGTTCCAATGCCAAGTCTAGTTAGAATTTCAATAGGGATTTCTTTATCTTCTGGGAATACTGAAGATAATAGAAACAATCCCTTGGCTTTTTCATACTTCATACCATCATAGCTAGACTTCAAACATTTATAAATTCCAACCTTTTCTTCATCAACATTGTCCATGGACACAGTTTCCTTCAATAATTTTAAGGTAGTATCCCACTTGTGCTTACGATCTTGTTGGCCCTTTAAACTTCTGGCGATAACTGCAATTGCAACCGGTAATTGTTTGCACTCCTTAGCAATTTCACGTCCCGTGGCGATCAAACTTATGGAAGAATTATCGATTATACATGCATACATTTTGAACATGGTCCATGCTTCTTCTTCAGGTAAGATATCCAATTCAATCATCTTATCACAACCCATTATATTGAATATTTGTTTACTTCGTGTAGTTATAAGAACTCTGCAACCTTTGTGATTGTCTTGTTTTGGAATTCCTATTAGATCAAAATCAAGAGGTGAGCCTTGATCCCACACATCATCCATTATTAGAAGAACTTTTTCATCGGTTGTTAATCTGCTCCATAGTTTTTTTGGTCGGTCTGAGTCATTACAGTCGTCCCATTCCAATCCTAAAGATCCAGCAATATCATCTTGAATTTTTTTTGTATCAGGAGTAAATGAGACTGTTGTATCGATTACATGAGCGAATTGTTCAGACTTCTTTAGTTCTTTACCCACTTCTTTGGCCAATGTAGTTTTTCCGGTGCCCCCCATCCCTTGCAATACGATCATATAATTGTTGTCATTTTTTAATGCATCCAGTAGCTCTTTGTATTTTGAATCTCTACTTGGAAAAGAAATGTAATCTTTAGATGAGTAACGTTCAACATCCGGAAGACGGCGAGAGATTTCAATATTTTCAAATGTCCCTCTCTTTTCTGTTAATTGTTTAATGTCTTGTATGTTATTTGCCAACTCCTTTCCCTTTTTATATCGCCATATGCAATTAGGACATAATCCAAAAAAGCATTTTTGTTTTGTTAGGATGTCCTCTTGAACGAGCTTTTCCGCTTTCTCTTTCCATAAATGATAATCAGCTTCAATATCTTTATCATTTCCTGCTGCCACTTTAGCAGGTTGCTCCATTGTTTTTATTTCTTCTTCCAGCCAAGTCTTTTTTTCTTTGAATTCATTAGCTGTGCTTGTGAAGCAAAATACATGACGTAGTTCTGCTATTGCCTTATCTATCAATTTCTCCATACATATCTTCCCCGATTCAGTTAAGCAACACTCCATCTAAATCAATTTCAATAGATCAATGTTAGCCATAAATGATTCAAATAAACTTAAAATAATGTATACTTTAAGTTCTACAAGCAATAAAATAAGGTAGTTTTCAGTGCAATTCAAGTTATGCAGAAGCGACTATGGAAAAATAATAATACCATTTTAAAATTTGAATTGATTTTGGAAAATGATTAAAGAAGAAGAAAAATGACAAAAGATGAAGCTATGTAGGAGCAAAAATGTCAGCAAAAACTATAGTACTATAATAACATGTAATGCAAAGTCAGCAAAAACTATGTAGAACCTAATAATAACATTTATTAAACAACTAAACAAAAAATTGAGTTAAAGTTTTTATCAATCAGTTACAAAATTAGAAATAACATAATATTGTAAAATTAATTTTTCCAATTGATTATTGTAAAATTAATGTTTCCTATTAATTTATGTATAAATAATTGTGTATAAATAATTTAAATATTTAAATATTGTAAAATTAATATTTAAATAAGAGTATTTTACGTATAAATAATTTATAATTTTATTCTATATATAAATTAAATTATTAAATTAATTTTATTTTAATAAAACCATTTTGAATAACAATATAAAAAATAGAATAAAGTGGTACCAATAAATTAAGAAATCTACATAAAAATTTTTTTTGCCCAAAACCTAATAGTATACTTTAAAATAATAGATAAGTATCATTCTCATTAAATAGTTATTTAGTATTCTCATTTTTTATGGTTATCATAGCTATTATTTAAATAAATTCCCAAGCTAGTCTTATTTATAAGAAAAATTCTACATAAATTAAAATGCATTACGATTTTTTAATTTATCTTTAAATTATAAAAATTATTTTAGAGCCAATATTTTATATAAAAATGTAGGATAATTTGCTATACTATTTGGTAACCTGACTCCAATCATCCTTTATTCCACTTTTCCTTATTTCTATTTTAACATTTAGTAGATAAATTAAATGCAAATTTCCATATTTTAAATATAATTTAATTCATTATTTAATAAATAAATAAAATCCCATTATGTTGTTATGGCATTCCATGCCATGCACAGTGTTCGGATTTTTTTCCAGATTTTGACGTCTCCCGTGGGAACGTTCATCCGTGTTATAAAGTGATCAGACTTCTATATGAATACTTCTATATTGCTCTTATAAAATAAAATATACTCTTGGTCTTTTATAGACCCAAATAGCTTTTACAATTCTAAAACATAAACTAAAACATAACAGCTACTAATAACTTACTAAAACTTTTGTCCTTCCTACTACCATGTTTAATGTAAAACTTTATTACTAACGCATTTAATGTTTATTCAACAAAACTCCTCTGTAAACTTAAATGTTTCTTCCATCCAGCATTCCTATCATCTTCTTGCCTCTGTCGAAGACCTCTTTTGATAGTGGTTTTGTAAAAATATCCGTTGCTTGGTTTCTGCTTGCTACATGCCTTAATTCGACACTTCCCTCCTTCACATGTTCACGAATGAAGTGAAATTGAACATCAATATGTTTGCTTCGTTCATGATTCACTGGATTCTTTGCCAATTCGATAGCTGATTTATTGTCCACTTGTATTATTGTTGGATCTTCCTGTTTCAGCTCCATCTTGCTTATCAACCTTCTGAGCCATACTGCATGACAGACGCACCAGGATGTTGCCACATATTCAGCTTCACGCGTCGAAAGTGTTACTATAGGTTGCTTCTTCGACAGCCAAGTAAATGATGTGTTTCCCATGAAAAATACATATCCAGAGGTGCTCTTCCGATCGTCTATGTCTCCACACCAGTCACTGTCAGAATAACCAACTAACTTGTAGTCTTCTGTTTTTGAATAAAACATTCCTAGTGATACTGTTCCTTGGATGTATCTTAGAATTCGTTTCAGCGCCTTCCAATGTGTGTGTACTGGTTCCTCCATGAATCGACTTACTATGCCAACACTTAGTGAAATGTCTAGCCTTGTGCATGTGAGATATCGAAGGCTATCTACCAAGCTTCAATATTTGCTTCCTTCGACCCGTTCTCCTCCATCAAACTTTGATAGTTTTGTACCTGGTTCCATTGGCGTCGAAGTTGGATTGCAATTCTTCATTTTATATTTTTCTAAGATTTCCTTTGCATATTTTTCTTGTGAGATGAAAATTCCAGCTTCTTCTTGTCGAACCTCCAGACCAAGAAAGAATCTCATCAGACCTAAGTCTGTCATTTAGAATTCGCTTGTCATGGTGCTCTTGAAATCTTCGATCATCTGAACATCACTGCCTAGAAAGATAAGGTCATCAACATAGAGAGCAACAAGTAATAAATCACTTCCATTTTTCTTCACATAGAGGGCGGGTTCATAAGGACATTGCTCGAACCCATTCTCTTTGAAATATGTGTCAATACGTGTGTTCCATGCCCTAGGTGCTTGCTTCAGCCCATACAGTGATTTCTTCAGTTTCAACACCTTCTTCTCTTCTCCAGTTCTCATATATCCAAGTGGTTGTTCGACATAGATTTCTTCTTCGAGCACACCATTCAAAAATGTTGTCTTGACATCCATTTGAAATATTGGCCATTTGAACTGAGCAGCTTGAGAAATGAGTAATCGAATTGTCTCCATTCTTGCAACAGGCGCAAACACTTCGTCATAGTCAATTCTTGCTTTCTGTTTGTATCCCTTCGCAACCAGTCGTGCTTTGAATCTTTCGATTTCTCCTTGAGCATTCATCTTTTTCTTGAATACCCAATTTACACCAATGGGTTGACTTCCTTTTGGTAATTCGACTAGCTCCCAAGTATTGTTGCGTTCGATTGCTCTAATCTCTTCGCCCATGGCACTTTTACACTTCTTGTCTCGTAACGCTTCTTCGACGTTGATGTTTTCAGCATCTGCCAGAAGACACACAAGATGCACCTCACTTGTTGAATCATACAAATATTGCAAACTTCTCATTTTGGGTTGTAGAGGTTCATCTCCATCTTCTGTTTCTTCATGTTCTGTTGGAATACTTGTTGGTACAACTACAGTTGTTTCTTCGACTGTGTCAACAACCTCTGTCGAAATGTTCCATTCCCACTTGCTTGCTTCGTTCATTCGAACGTCTCTGCTCACGATCACTTTCTTGCTTATGGGATTGAAGAGCTTGTACCCTTTCGTCTTCTCATCATATCCAATGAATATGTACTTCTGACTTTTGTCTTCAAGCTTTGTTCTTCGTTGATCTGGTACATGTGCATAAGCTATACTACCAAATACCTTGAGATGAGAAATTGTTGGCTTCTGTCCACTCCATGCTTCTTGTGGTGTTTTGTCTTCTAACTTCGAATGTGGACATCTATTCTGAATATAAACAGCACATTGTACTGCTTCTGCCTAGAATTCTTTTGACATGTTCTTGCTTTTGAGCATTGATCGAACCATGTCAAAAATAGTTCGATTCTTTCTTTCAGCCACACCATTTTGCTGAGGTGAATATGGTGCAGTTAGGAATCTCCTTATGCCCTGTTCTTCACAGTACTTCACAAAGTCCATTGAAGTATACTCACCTCCTCTGTCAGATCGAATTGCTTTGATGTGTCTGTCTGTTGCCTTCTCTACCATTACTTTGAACTTTTTTAACACTTCTAATGCTTCAGACTTTTATTTCAGGAAGTAGACCCAGGTTTTTCTTGAGAAGTCATCAATAAAGGAAATGAAGTACCTTTTTCCACTGAAGGATTCTGGAGTGATTGGCCCACATATGTCAGTATGTATCAATTCGAGAATATGTTTAGCTTGATACTCTGCCTTCCTTTGAAATGAGGTTCTTGTTTGTTTGCTGAGCACACATTCTTCACAGAATTTTCCTTCGAAATCCATGTCTGATAGTCCATGCACCATGTTCCTTTTCGCCAACCTTCTCAAACCAGCATGATGTAGATGACCAAAGCGCATATGCCATAGTGACGCTTTGTCTTGCACTTCGATTTGCAGACATTTCTCTCGAATGTTCCTCAGGTTCAGTTTGTACATTCAATTTCTTTCCATTTCGACAGCGGCAATCAGATATCCTGCTTTGTCCTTCAAATGCAGTGTTCGATCTTTCATCAGTATCGAAGCACCTTTTTCTGTAAGTTGTCCCAGACTTAATATGTTGGTCTTGAGATCTAGTACATAGTAAACGTCTTCGATTGATCCAATCAATCCATCCTTCTGCAAGTAACTGATTGTGCCCTTTCCTTCGACCTTCACTTTCGATGCATCTCCAAAAGACACATTACCATCTTCAATTCTCTTCATATATTTAAACAGGTGTTTGTAACCACACATGTGATTACTTGCTCCTGAGTCAAGATACCAAACACCGTCATTGGTGTTGATTTCGTTTTGAGCCATCAGGAGAAAGCCTTCATTCGATTCAGCTTCCAAGGCTAGGTTGGTTGTTTCTTCAATCTTCTTTTCGATTCGACAGTCTTTTGCAAGATGTCCCACTTTGTCACAGTTGTAACATTTGTAGGAGTTACAATCCTTCGCATAATGACCATACTTCCCACACTTGTAGCATTCGAAGTTGGAATAATTCAAATGACCACCTTTTTGACCACGTCCCATGCCACGCCAATTTTGTTGGCTCGATTGTCCTCTTTCGAAGTTGCTACCTCTACCACTTCGACCACTGTCACGACCTCCACGTCCACGTCCACGTCCTTTTCCTCGAAAGTTATGAGAAAAGAGTACCTTTTCGTCTTTGTTCGATTCCTTGGTTTGGTTTGCTTCTTCGTCTGCTTCTTCTTTCTTTTTCATCTTTCGTTGTTCATGTGCTTCGAGAGAACCAGCGAGCTCTTCGATTGAGAGCGTTGAAAGGTCCTTCGACTCTTCTATTGCACATACAATATTTTCAAACTTGTCTGTTAAAGATCTCAAGATCTTTTCAATAACTCGTGCATCAGGTACTGTCTCTCCATTTCTGGTGAGTTGATTCACCACCTTTTGCACACGTGTGATGTAGTCA